AAAATACTAGTCATACAGATCTACTATCAGACCACATCAGACAATTTTGTGATATTTTAAAGAGAAGCTCAAATGTTTGTACCGTATGAAGTGGAAAAACAATTTGTTGAACAATTGTAAGCTTGACTTTTACAGGTGTGCTAAAGAAAATTTTGAATTTGAACATTATTTGGAAAAAATTAAAAATAAAAATCATAGAATAGCTTATACTAAATTTAGAACTTCTGCACATTTTCTTCCCATTGAATCCGGTAGACATAAAGGCATTTTGAAGGAAAACAGGCTATGTAATCTCCATGAATGCAATGAAGTAGGGGATGAGAAACATTACATTTTATATTGTAATAATTGTCAAATCAAAGAACAAAGATCTAGATTCCTTGCAGCTTTATACATCTATGCCCCAAAGCTGGAAGATTTTAGCATGGATGAATTATTTCCTATTATTGTTTCAAGTAATGATTTTTTCATTCTTAGCATTTTTGCAAAATTTATTTTCTATATTCTTGATATGTATTAATACTGAAAGTTTTTGTTGTTCTGAATGTTTTGTTTTGTTATTGTTATTTTTGGACTTTACTCAAGTTTTCATTGGTACGTTCCAAATAAAAAAATTCTATCTAGTTGTTCTCAAGAGGGGCATAGTCAGCAAAGGCCTCCCAGCTGTATTTTTAAAAAAATTACAAGAACAAAGAATCACAAAGAAAAGGGAGAAGTAGACTGAGTTATGAATATAATCTAGCGGGCTAGATTTGCTCCAAAAAGAATGTCGTCACCATTACTGGTACATAATCAGAGTAATCAGACCTTTTCCGAAGACCAGAACTAACCTGGGCCCTGTGCCAACTATGTACGTGTTGGTTCCCTGCAACGTCATTGGGCCAGGATTACATCCAAGCACTCGAATAACTCTCGAAGACAACTGCTCAACATCCGGAATAAATGTTGTCATTGTAGACGCGAGACGCAGAAACTGAGATCGGACGATATTCATTGAAACCCACAAATAGGGAGGTATCACATGCATGGTACAAAGTTTAAAGGTCGCCTCCTGGTCAGGTGATTGGGTGATTCTATTATGCAAGTACATTTGTGGTAGAAATAAAACTTTGCTGGCAATGACAGTAACATATACAAAGCTACGTCACTATTTTAAACATGTAGAAAACATTTTTTGTATCATTTATGACTGATTCAATGCAGCGATGGTGTTACTGTTTCTCTTGATTTCAGTGCATGCTCGTTGATTTCTCTGCGTGCTAGTTGAGCTCAAACTGTAAATCTCGGTCTCCCAAAGTTCGAGATCTCGAGGATTATGAGAGTCAGGGGAAAACTATTTTCGTAGGTGGTATTGATCTGCTTCCGGTTGTGCTTGAAATACGCAAGGAAATCGACAATGCTGTAGTAATTTAAACACGCCAGGTAATAGGAGGTACACCAAAATCAAAATGAGGTAAGAGGGTTATGTTGTACTTGAGTCGTAGTCTATTTTCGCAAGAGATTGTCATCACGGTCACCGTCGTTCTCGGCGAGTCAGTCACCACAGGGAGTACCCATCAACTGTTGATACACGGAATTCAATTCTAAATTCGACATTGACTGTAGACGATGGTTGCCATTCACTTATGTCTCGGGATAGCGGATGGCCTAACGGATTAAACAGTAAATATATGTTGGATCCCTTAATGATTATATTCTGCATACCCATCACATTATTAGAATATTGGCTACTAAGTACATGACACCAGAATTTCAAATTCGGAGGGAGGGGGGGGGGGTATGGCTGTGTAGCGAGATAATGATGGTTAGCCATACTTTGTAGTTTTGTGTTTGTCTGATCACAAAAAATAATTAAGTTGCAGGTTTATGTTCATTGTCATATTTTTGAGTTTTAAAAATGGTTGTACCACATAATTACACAGTCTTTCTATTTAGATGACATGTTGTGAGGGGGGCACTGTATATGTAACTATATATTACCTCTACTGTTATTTTTTCCCCTTTGTTTTCTCCAGTTCAATACAGCAACAAATTAATAATATCTAATATACAATATTGGTATTTATTGCTGGTGTAGTATGTTGACCTTCATGTGTCTGCATTAGGCTTCTATATCTGGCAGGGAAAACCATATAATTTAGTTGTCGATGAAAAACACATGTTCGAAAATGTTGAGGGTGTGTTGCGAATGTGTTACAGATGTATTTTTACATGGGGAAATATGCATCATACAATTAATATTGTAAATAATAACTAAGCACAACTGATCAAATTTATTGTACTGAAAAGAATTTGCATGCTTTATAATGTAGACTTTATTATCATTTCAGTCATTCTTTAAATGATAATGTTTAAAATGCGCTGTCGGCGGATCCGATGTTTGCGACATGAAGTCTGGTGCACCACAAATGTATCAAAACCATCTTTATTGTAGCCTAACAACTTCAATAAACATTCAAAACAATCACTGTACATTTACTAGCAATGTTGATATTAACTTACAGTGGTACAGCAACATTTACATAAACATTATCGTTCAAAGAATGACCAAAACGACAGTAAAAGGCATTTGATGGTCGTTTTCTATTTTTAAATTATAAAATTTGTAAAAAAAAATATAATTATTTACTATAAAGTATATAATATTAAATTAACATATACATGTAGTGACTAATATCTTTGGAATATGTAAAGGCATGACAAGACTGTGTCTTAAGTCTATGTAATGCATATGTAAATCAGTTGAGTGTCATGTTTTGGTCACAATAAATAAACTCACTTCTACATGTATATACCACAATCACAGTCCTTCTATCCATGGTAGAGAGACTGTGTTGTAATGTTGACAAGTTGATGCTACTGACTGTCAAAAACAGCTTAGAGTTACTATACACATTGAATACATTACAGGATTACTCCCAAAAATGGAAAATCAAAGTAAACTTGACAAAAACTGAAACTATAATAGTATTAAAAAGAAATACCTTATTACGTGAACATTGAAATAATGTTTCAATCGAATGGGAAATTTACTTTAACCTAGAGACAACATGGGAGATGAATCTATGAAAGCAATTTATTTGCTAAGATAGTGTTTGCCAAAAGTAACAGATTAAACATCTTTTTACATGTATGTAACCTTAGAGCCTACATTGGTCTATGATCAAACTAAGGCCAAATAAAAAAAATTGTGGTTCCTATAAATGAGTAGGTCAAGCTTTTTTGACTTTTCTATACATTTCCTCTTGGTTACAACTGTGTTTCATTTTTTTTTTGTGTATAAAAACTGTTTTTGCAGATATGTGCGATATAAATCAGGTTTAAAGATTTTAACATTATCCAGTTTTTAATTTTCACATTCAAAACCTGTATTGTCATCTCAACTACACAATTTATTTTTCTTGGCCTAATTATACCTCAGGGATCAGAAATTCTGGGGGGGGGGGGGGTGTTAAATGCAATGGTGAATGGGAAAACACATTTCCTGCTGAAAGACTCCACTGACATACCAAATTCAATGGGAAAATAAGAAGTCAGCATGCAATATGTTAATTTGTAGATGTAGAAATGAATATAAAGTTGTGGACCCAAAATATTTCACAAAATAATTTTGCCAAAATAGTGTTAAATGACCATCATTGTCAAATCATGCATAAAAAACTAGGAATACAATTCCAAACTGATACAGCAAAATAAAAAATTAGAAACATTGGAAATATTGCTAATGAAAAACAAAAACTACATGTAAGAACTTACACTACATTTAAAATAAATTACAATTTTAAAGATTACTTGAATCTGTTTAAATACAAAACAAATTTCTCTTACTAAATTCAGAACAAGTAATAATATTTTAGTCATTGAAAAGGGAACTCACATCCAACCAAAATAGGTTTTGTGGAAAATTGTTATTGCAGGAAATAGAAAATGAACCGGGTATGTTTGTCAAAACTGTCAACATTATTATTATATTCCCAGGGATGAGAATTTCACATATTTCTAAGCCCCAAAGATTGATTTTCTGAAACGTCTTAATCCGAAGAAAAAATTCAGGGGGGGTATTACAAAGAATACAAATCTTGTTCATTCACCAGAAGTAAACACGCGTCATTGTTGCTGCAAGAGGCCTGTATCAGTGTATGGTCGAAGGGAGACAACTCGTGGTGTCTTCAATGCGGAATGTTCGCGACTCTTTTCATCAGTGCAATCATAAAATCTGAAGTGGTTTCAAAGTGTTCGACGTAAAATGTAACGATTAACATGACTGGGTTTGCTCTGACGGGCCAATCAGTAAAGAGCTTTCATTTTTCTTTTCACCATTGGCGCCATTTTATTGTTTCAATTGTTAGCTGTTAACGATTTGATCAACTACGGTTCTCGAACCCCGGAGTGTATAAACATTGTACATTTTGAATTTCTAAAGATACCATCACAATATTATTATATACAAACTCATATTTACATCACTATAATTACTGTTATTACCGTAGATAAAGTAAAAATGTAAACACATGATGCAAATAAAATCATATTCCTGAACACAATCAATCAGTTCGGAACTAATCTTGGAAAATATTTTTTATGGCATTTTATGTTATTTCTAAATAAATTAATTAAAATTACAAAGGTGTAATAAAGTTACCATAAAGATATGGCAAAGTATGTACTTGCGTATCAACCTTTGCTACACATGTTCAATACAATCACCAAACTATTCTGAACTTCACAGCATTCTCATATTGTGTTGTTTGAAGTTGAGTTGAGAGGTGATAACTTTTAGTAAAGTTAAAACAATTGTGTGTACCTTTTTGCTTTCACTATTAACGAGTATTGTGTTAGATGATATAGTTCTATGTGTGTGCAGCATGGAAGGCATTATGGGACTTGTTTTTATAAAGGTGGATTATATGTTCATAATCCATCATTCATAATTTCTAGTTACCTCAGCATGAATCCTCAAACTAATAGTGGGGGACTCAGACACGTTGAAAAAAACGTTGAAGATCACAATGCGATAAATTTCTATATAATAAATACCAATAAACAGTATAAAATGTCAGGACATACTCAATGTGTCTGGTAAACTGTATGTCATTGTGTATAAAATGTCAGGACATACTCAATGTGTCTGGTAAACTGTATGTCATTGTGTATAAAATGTCAGGACATACTCAATGTGTCTGGTAAACTGTATGTCATTGTGTATAAAATGTCAGGACATACTCAATGTGTCTGGTAAACTGTATGTCATTGTGTATAAAATGTCAGGACATACTCAATGTGTCTGGTAAACTGTATGTCATTGTGTATAAAA